ATAGCTGTCTTTACTGGATTAATATTCCACAGGTGAAATTCATTAGAAAAACTTTCTTAGAATTCACCATCATGTTAATAATAACATAAAAAGGTTTCTATTAGGCTTTTAAGATATTGAAAAATAAGATCAAATAATTTTGAAGATAATAATTTTATTGTTCAGTTTCGGTTAGGCAAACTTTTAAACCATGCTACCAATATTTAAGGCTGGCTCTGACAAATTGGAGGCCCAAGAAAAATTAATTTTTTATATGGATTTTTGAAATAGTTTTTAAAAAGTAATACGGAATGTTAAAACTTTCGGAAATTAGGGACCTACTTGAGCAATAAAAAAATTGGGGCGCCTAAATCTGTAAAAAAATTGAAGCCTGTTATAAATCATATGGATGGATTCAATACCCGACCCAAGGCCCATTAAGTTTTATCTCCTTCTTGTGTTCCCGTGTAAACTCATATATATACTTTCTTATGTGTTAATAAGATTACACAGTTTACAACACGTTATCAGGACGAGTTTGCTCTAGAGAAATAAAACCACCTTCAAAAAGCCTTAACCCTAAAAATCGCTAAAACCCTAAAACCCGCACATCATCAGATCCGATCATGATACTGTTCATCGTGGTACTGTTCATCATCGGATCTATTCATCGTCGACAATGTTCATCGTGATACTGTTCATCGTGGTACTTTTCATCGCGGTACTGTTTGCGGTTCGTGCAGCAGCGTGAGTTACCGAGGTCTTTAGCTCCCGGTCCCAACCAATTCAGAATTCAATCAGTGGTTAAAAGGTAAACATAAATCCCTAAATATCTATAACCCTAATCGCGATTTTGATCTTATGATTATCTAAGATTTTAAAATTGATTTTGTTTATTGTTAAGGATTAAACCCTAAATCCAAAATTCGAGAGATTGAATGCTCTTTAAAGCATGGAATCGAATTGAGGTTTAGGGATTGATTGATAGAAACCCTAATCGCGATCCTATATCGCGAAAGCCAAACCGCAAGTTGCAGTTTAATTCTAACCCTAACCGAACTTATGTTCGGTCTAAACCCTAGGTTAAACCGAAAGTAAACCGAAACCCTAAATCCTAGGTTAAACAGATTTGTAAACCCTAAGTCACGGTTTAAGATCAAGTTTCCCATAAATAGAAAGTTCCATATAAGGAAAGTTTCAAGAAATAGAAAGTTTCGTAAAATAGCAAGTTTCCCAAAATAAAAGGTTCCCTAAAATAGCAAGTTTCCCAAAATGGAAAGTTACCAAAATAAGAAACCCCTTCATAAGGAAATATTCCAAAACCCTAAAGTACACGTTTGTTTAGGATTTCTTTCTAGATGAGAAATAGAAAGTTTCCATAAATGGAAAGTTCCATATAAGGAAAATTTCTATAAATAGAAAGTTCCATACATAAAACCGAAACCCTAGCAAAAACCCTAGTACTATAAATCGTGGATGCTAAAACCCTAAAACTTAACCGCGAAATCCTAATATCCTAATCTAGTATGATCCGATTGTTTGGTTGTTTTTTTGTTGCATACTAGATCAATCTTCTAGGGTTGATTTCATCCATATATATATAACATGATTGTTTAGAAAACACTTGCTGAAGACAAGCATGGCTCGGTCTTAAATACCGCATAACTTGGTCTAGCGATTACATGAGTTCTCATTTAACACTATATATATTGTAGATGTCAAAAATCAACTATTATGAATACACGACAATGAATACCTCTGGTGACAATTATTTACAATGGACTTTAGACACTGAGATTGTCCTAAAGGAAAAAGGGCTTGGTGAATCTAGTGTGGAAGGAAACAATGTCACCAGAAGAAAAAGATATAAGGCGATTACTAACATACGCCATCACCTCAATGAAAGTCTCAAAATCAGTACCTCACTATTAAGAATCCTATGGACCTCAGGACAGAGTTGAAAAAAAAAATCAATATAACCACCAAAGAACGGTGCTATTACCCAAAAGCCCGATTCGATCGAAAGAATCTCAGATTCCAGGAATTCAAATCCATGAATGAGTATAACTCAGCACTATTTAAAATAGTGTCAATACTGAGATTCCGTGGTGAGAAAGTTACTGAGAATGACTTGCTAGAGAAAGCATTCTTGACCTTTCACACAAACAATATATTGCCTCAGCAACAATATCGTGAAAAAGGTTTTTACCACATATGCAAGTCTAAACTCTTGTTTTGCTACTTGCTGAGCAAAACAATGAGTTATAAATAGTGAAATCCTCAAATTCCTCAAATTCCTCCGGATACCCTAAATCGGCCGAGTCTTCTTCTCGACTTCTTTTAGCTTTGACAATAAAGTCATCAACGGATTCATGTTTGTATCTCAATTTCATTACCATTATGAAATTTTCATTTCTAATAGATCAATAGTGCTTATTTGATTTTGAATTCGTGAAGGATTCGGTGACAATTTTGGACGTCGTGGATACCAAAGAACACCCGGAAAATACAAATACGGTAAATCGAGTGTCATGAGGACATCCGGCACAGAGACAAAATCCAAATAGACTCTTCCATTGTTGTCCGCCGTACGGCGTTAATAATGTTGCGTTCACGTAAACACGCGTTAACGGACTTTTAACAACGTCGACTAATTCGCTTGTTTTCGCACAAAATGAAAAGATTGAGTGGGTGATTGGTTCGGCTGTAGCTGTCGAATTTTTGATGTAAAATTTTTGTTGTAGCTGTGTGGCTGTAGCTGTAGCTGTTTTCGTTGTAGCTGTAGCTGTATCATTTGTTGTTGTAGAATTTTTGATGTATCTGTAAGTTTTTGGCTCTAGATATTTATTTGTAATGTAATATGGTGTAATAAAAAAAAATTATGTTTTGTATTACAGTTAATAAAATATCTTGTATTAATAATTTAAATAAATAAATAATAATATCAAATGAAAAATTAAATAAAAAGTAAATACTTATAAAAACTCCTAGTAAAAACATAAAAGCCTATGATTATAAATAAAATAAATAATAATTTTACCTATGAGTATTCCATAAATTCATTGCAAGCTTATCTCGAATTCCTTTTTTGGTGTTTGATAATTACTAGTTTTCTACAACTTATCATTTTTTTTGTGTTTGATAATTACCAGTTTTTTACAACTTAACATTTTTTTGTGCAAGATAATTAACAGTTTACATATTTATTTACAGCCTGTCTAAAGCAAAAAAAAAGAGGATCCCGAGAATTTATCCTACTACAGCTTAAAAAAAAAAAGGAAAGAAAAGGGTTTTAGCTTAAAAACAAAAGATACAACATGATTGACATATGAAGATGTACCTTAAAAAAAGACTACGGCACGATTGACATATATTTGAGACTTTAAGAAAAATTAAGGCTGTAAGAATGATTTAAAACCCAACCAATCATGCCCTGAGTCGTTAATTTGATTTTTTTTAAGAGTTGATGTAGGAATTATCCACTGCTAATACTTTATGTATGAATTCAACATACCTCCTAAATTAATGTATGAAAAAGCCATTTTTCCACTAAATCCCATAGCTCTTCTCCAATCTAAGGGTAACACAAACGTGAGAACTCTCTCACTCTCTCACTCATTATTTGCCTTCATTTATTTTTTCTCCTTTTTCTACTCACATTTTTTGTCGACATTTATTATTCACATTATGATAATTGGATATAAATTCAAAAACATGATTTAATGGTATGACTTCAAATTTTCTACCTTTTGTCCTGTCGGTCCAGGCCAGGGATCAATTCCCTTCAAGTGCGAGATTCACTAAATCAACCCATTTGGCCACCGGAGCATTCACATGGTCTCTCCGGACCCCATGATTAGTCGGAATTTATGGCTCGTTGACCCGAGAACCAACTAGGAAGAAAAAGTCCCCGCGACTTGGCTTGGAGCTCATGGTAAACGTTGAACCGGTTCTCCTGCTCTATTAAAAAAAAAAAAAAAGGCCAATGGTTGCTTTGGAGCAGATATCGGGCACGGACGTGACGACACGATAGGGGAAGCTTTGATTTGGTCGCCAATATGTAGTTTGTGGCTGCGAGAGAGATTTGTGCAATGTTCACCGCCAAATATCAACCCGACGATTCACCGATATCACTACCGGAGAAAAAGGCAAACCTAATCTCAGCTCAACCCGTGAACCCACTCGCACAAACCAACATCTAGAATAAGACAAATAAGGACGGTGAGAATAGTGTCGTCTCGTAGGATGTTAAAATGAATTTCACATGTGGAATATTTACCAAGTAAAGACATCTAACTTTTTCAGAAACAAAAGGTAGAAAATTTGAAGTCCTAGCATTAAATTCTCGTAAATATGGTCCAACCAATTTAGTTATAGTTTTGGTTTTATGTGTGTTTTCCATCCCGTTAAAAACATGGAAAATTTATAATAGTTATTTATTACATTTAAGTATATTAGGTGGACTAGATTTTCTAGAAGCTGGTGGTTAAACAGGCTTGGAGGTTACTTTCGAAACCTATCTCTCTACTGGCAGAGCCGTGCCCTCTACCTTTAGAAAATAGGCAATTGCCTAAGGCCACATCAAAATGGAAAAAATAAAAGGCCACAGTTTGGTTCAAAAATAGGCTATTTATTTAGATTGATATTTATGTATTTGAGGTTCTTTGTTTAAGAAAATGCATGACAACTAAAATTATTTAGTAAAAAAGATGTTGAATAGTTTGATTTTCTTATTTAAAGTGAAAAAGTATATATCACCTGTATCTCTAAGAAAAAAAATGCAATAGTTTTATGGATAATTTATATAGTATTCCAAAATTAATTATTACCCAAAATATCTCGGTTATTCGATGTTGGGTATCGGTCGGGTTATCCAATCTGAAATCTCTAAGCTTGGTCGACGGACGTTGATGAGTAATGTATCAAAGATGATTAAAAATGTGAAGAGCGTAAAACAGTAAAAAGTTAAAAGTTAAAAGTAAAAAAGAGTGTCAATAAATAGCGAGTAGCATTACTCCAAATCCCATAGCTCTTCTCCAATCTAAGGGTAACACAAACGTGAGAACTCTCTCACTCACTCACTCACTCAGAATTTGCCTTCATTTTTTTTTTCTCGATTCTCTATTCACATTTTTTTTACGAAATTATATATTCACATTATGATAATCCGATATAATTTCATCCTTGCATATGCATTGTACGTGGTTGTGCCATGCATCCATTTTTGTTGTTTCAACTTATTGAAGTTATACGTTATCACCAATACAAATATTTATATGTAATCTACAATTAAATTATCTCATAGTAGAAGTGGAGATGAATATAAAAGATATGTTAACTTTTTTTTTTTTTTGGTTGAATGTTAAAAAAGATATGTTAACTTATTCTTTCATAAATGATGATAATTAAAAGAAAACAGAGTTTGTGTTACTTCTTCTTCCACTGTTTTCTTTACCAAGTAACCATTCTGTTTTTTTTTTATTCTTCTTTCATATCGTGTTTTTGAGAAAGGAATTTGAATCTTTCAGGTTTTTCACTAAAGTTAATAGATCGAAGCAATGTCTGAGAAGATGGGACGGTTGGTGGTAACATGGGAGATGCATTCGACGATGGTGTTTTCAATGGCGTGAAGAAAATAATTGTGGGAGAACACATTGGCTGCGTGGCTTATATCAAGATCGAATACGAAAAGGATGGGAAATTTGAAACCCGTGAACATGGGACAATTCGCAGGGATCTAAAAGAGGTAATAAAAAATATTGTGACTTTGTTATTCTTTAATCAGTTATTATATATCAACTCCTAATAGCTTATAAATTGTTTATTTCTAATGAAAAATGAAAATCAGTTTGTGGTGGATTATCCAAGTGAATGTATCACATCCTTTGGTGGAAGCTACGGCCATGTTAACGGCTATAAAGCAGTGATGATCAAATCACTAATCTTCAAAACCTCTTATGGAAGAACCTCTCCAGTACTCGGTGAGACCAATTCATTTGGAAATCCAGCTGATAATCAATTCATGCTCGAGGGTAAAAATGGAGGAAAGCTTCTTGGATTCCACGGACGCTCTGGTGCTGCTATTGATGCCATTGGTGCTTACTTTGGAACGGGTTCTGGTGGTGTTGGACCAAGAAAGTTGGAACTACGCGTAGGTGAGGGATGTGGTAACGGAGGAACTTAAGGAGGAAGATTACAAGACTGGTGATTTGGTTCATCATCAGATCGAAGTCCATGTCGTGTCTATCTATTATCACCAATAAAAGACTTACTCTTTAGTTTGTTTTCTCTTTTGATTCCGTAAAATAAGGTCCATGCTTTGGATTTGTGTCACTTTAAGTCTTGAGTAAGCATTTCAGCTTTTACTGTGTTTATGTGTAAAATAAAGTCCATGCATCTTTTGGATCATGTGATGTTCTCTGCTTTGAAGGTGTATTTGTCTATTTTAATAATATATGATGCTTGTTTCCAGTATCGTTTGATCTTCGGACGAAGACACCTTGCGGTTTGAAATGGTGGCGTTGTTGTCTGAAGCCCTAAGATGATCATCCGATGTGTTTGATGATATAAGAAAACGTAATTGATTTAGAGTATTTATAGTAAACTAATGTAGGTCAAAAAAATCTTGGTGGCCAAGCATAATATATTTGATACCATAACAAAATTGGAATAAAATCTATGTAATCGTTTTGTGTTTAGGAATATCCGACGATTTCGTTTTTAAAAGTTCTTATTTGTTTCTATAAAATCGTTTTAATGGATATTAGGAGGACGAATATTAATTACTATATTTACGACATATATGCAAAATCATAACCAAAATATTTTTTTAGATAATATGATGTAAATCAAATGGAGTTAAGGTAATATAATATTCAACCGAGATTGTAGGAGCGTAATCATTTTCTTAATAATATCTTTAATTAAATAGATATGGTATGTGGAATAATTTTCTGATTGAATATTTGATTTCCATATCTTTGAATATCTAATCTCGTTTACGAAAAATTAAGAATGTTTAGTGAGTTAATTTATTGTTTTATAAAATTTGATTAAGAAAATATTTGTGTCTGATTTTTTTTGTAGGGACTAAATGTACAATTACAAAATTGTAGAAGGATTTTTGGGCCAAAATCTTCTCCAAAAATGTATATATAAATTTTCGAATAATGGATTAGTATATAACATTTTCAATAACATTTTCGAACTATATGATTACTATAATTCAAAATAACATTTTTTTTATAAATTCGATTTATATAAAAAAAAAATTCAATGATATATCATTTTCAATAACATTTTCGAATAATGGATTAGTATATAACATTTTCAATAACATTTTTGAATAATTTATTAATAACTTAGAACGTTAATATATGATTACTATAATTCAAAATAACATTTTTTTTATAAATTCGAATTATATAACATTTTTTTTTATAAATTCGGATTATATATAAACAAAATCTCTTTAATATCTTTAAACCCATTTGACATGTTGACCCGTTAATATATATTAGTGACATGGAAAAAAATGATTATGATTAGAATTCTCTAATGGCATATATTGTAATTTCTTACAAAATCAACGTTATGATCCTTAGGATGTACTTCCCAAATATTAGTATAGGATATATATTATTAGTGGATCTTTTGATGTTCTAACTTTAGGAGGTGAAAAGTAATCATTACTTTTATGGGGTTATTTTAGGTATTTTTTTCCATGCTTCCATAATTGAGCATTTTTGGTGAGGACAAAAAGACCAAACATATTGTTTCATGTTTCCTCAACAGTAGAAAGAGAAGTTAACATATTGTTATATATATTTTAACAACAGTAGTAGAACAGTAAAAGAATAAGCATTGACATGGGAAATACATGTTGAGATAGTCTGAAGCTGCTCACTTCTTCCAAAACTTCTCTGCCTTTGCAACCATCTCATCGATGCCGCCAACCATGTAAAACGATTGTTCAATAAGATCAACATCCTTAATTACCATCGAGCAAACCATGTGACAAATGTATACATAAGGCATATACCTGGTGAGACTAAATGAGGAGAGTAAACCAATGAAACAGAGGGAATGCAAAAGAGGAAAACACATGTATTAAGGAAAACTATCACTTAAGGACTGTAACTTATGAAACCCAAAGACTGAATCAAGGAGCTACATATTAAGAAAAAGCTATACCCTAAAGACTATCATTAAGGGAACCCAAGAAACATATTAAATGCACTCTTATTAAGGAACACTAAACCCTAAGGAGCTACAACAGAGGGAACCCAAGAAACAAATTAAACGCACTAATATTAAAGAACATTAAACTCTAAAGAACTACAACTGAGGGAACCCAAACACCAAATGAAACACCAAATGAACATCGCTGTTCTGCATGTTCTATCAACATCGTTGTTCTGTTGGTTACTTGTTTGATCTGTATTTCACTCTTTATATACACAAGAACAATATCATAGCGAGGAAAACCTGATATAGGTTGAGCGATAAGTTTTTTTTCAAGAGAACATGCAAAAAATGGACCAAGCAGACACATGGAGAGACGAATCAACCAGCGGATTTGCTAATAAAGAGAGTGAGAGATCAAAATTTCAGGCTAAAATCCTAAGATTTCAATTTCTTTGAAACGGTTCTTGAGGGTTACAAAATATTCACAATCACAATGTTTACAAATTCACATGAAATCAATTAATGTATCTACAAAACCAGATGACGTCTCCTCCTCAATATTCTCTGATATAACACCACCATAACTAGTTACTCTTGGATTCCAATATAAATATTATTAACACCTCTCTCTCTTTTATTATAACAATATAAATTTATTAACACCTTTGGGTCGGGTTCTGATCGGATATTTCGGGTTCGGATTCGGATTTGGACATACTAACAGAGTCGTTAACGGGTGATAACGGATGTTATAGGTTCTGTTAACGAATGATGATGACATGTCTATTTTATTTGGCCTGGTCAACGAATTCTAATGTTTCAAATGTTAGTCAACGATTAGTTCATATTTTGAATGGCCACATATAAAGTTGATGTTTAAAATGGCCACAATTTGAAAGTTGATTAACAGAGTCGTTACGGGTGATAACAGGCGTTAGAGGTTCCGTTAACGACCGATAACGGCATGTCTATTTTGGCCTGGTCAACGAATTTTCATGTCTCAAACGTTAGTCAACGTTTATTTCATGTTTTAAATGGCCACATATGAAGTTGACGTATTGATTGGCCACTTTTTGAAAGTTGGGAGATGAAACGACATTTTTCCCGTTTCCATCCCCATCCTTAAAAAGGGATATGTTTGGTTTAGAAGTTGAAATATATTTTTTTTACGAGTCTACGAGTCATTTTGTTTTTTTCTTTCCTACACCAAGAAATGAAACCCAGCTTTTATAATAAACCAAATATCTTTGCGAATATGATAATTTACTCATCTAAAATAGTTCATGCAATCAATTACACTCTCATGTCAACTAATCAACCTAAGATAAGTTTCTAGGTCGCGAATCTAGAATAAGCAGTAAGAACAATCTAGATGAAAACTTCTATTGATTCCAATTCTATCTAACCATCAACCTATCAATTCATCTTATACCTTTGAAACCCCTAAACCTAACAGAGAATCTACTCAGACATGATTAATGAAACATAAATCATAATTTGAACAAAAAGCATGTAAGAATTAAATAGAGGAAGTAAGAGTTTAGAAATCTCTGATACACAACAAAGTATTTATAAGGTTTTACAGGGTATTTATAAGATATTTACAAGGTTTTACAATCTATTTTACAAGGTTTTAAAAGGTATTTATAAGGTTTTACAAGTTATAAGGTTTTAGAAGTTATTTATAAAATTTTATAATGTATTTATAAGGTTTTACTAGACATTTATAAGATATTTTTATAGTTTTACAAGGCATTTAAAAGGTTTTACAAAGTATTTATAAGATTTTACAAAGTATTTTTAAGGTTTTTACAAGGTGTAATTTTTCAAAATTTTGGCGGGAAAATTTGATTTTGCAAATTTGGCGGGAAAACATGATTTTGTATTTTTGGCGGAAATCATTTTCCTGAATTTTGGGCGGGAAAACGAGGTATTTATAAGGTTTTACAAAATATTTTTAAGGTTTTTACAAGGTGTAATTTTTCTAAATTTTGGCGGAAATATGTGATTTTTTATTTCTGGCGGAAATCATTTTCCGGAATTTTTGGCGGGAAACGCGATCCCGCAATTTTGGTGGGAAACGCGATCCCGCAATTTTGGCGAGGTTTTACAAGGTATTTATAAGGTTTTACAAGGTATTTTAAAGGTTTTTACAAGGTGTAATTTTTCAAAATTTTGGCGAGAAAATTTTATTTTGCAATTTTAGCGGAAAAACGTAATTTTGTATTTTTGGCGGAAATCATTTACCGGAATTTTTGAGGAAAACGCGATCCCGCAATTTTGGCGGGAAAAAGTCATTTTGTATTTTTGGCTGAAATCGTGTTCCCAGAATTTTGGCGAAAAAATACGATCCCGCATTGTTTTGCGGGAAAATGTGATTTCAGATTTTTGGCGGGAAAAACTATTCCGAAATTTTTTGCGTAAAAATGCGATTCCACAAATTTTGGCAGAAAAACGCGATCCCGCAATTATGGGAATAATTTGTTTCCCGTCAAAATCAAATTTTCAATTTTGATGTGTGCACATTCTCCTATCTTTCCTCAATATTTTTGATGTCTTTCACTAAAAGAAGGGTAATTTAGTCATTTTGTTCATAAAAAATGGTATTTTTAGAAACGGACAGCTGAATGGAGCATTTTTGAAAAGGGATAGAGGAAAACATGTATTTTTGCAAATCCCACTTAAAATATATAATTTTTTTCTAAATTTGTATAATGGACAAATAGACATTTCTCAAAAATTCTCTATAGGTTTTCAATTATTTTAATGGGTTGGAGAAATAGTAAAAAAAACCTAAAAACTAAAGTTATTGGATCATATGTACGATGATGATCCCGGGAAAACGGGGGTTTGTTTTTAGGTTTTTTTTATGTGTGCTAAATTGCTTTGGCTAATTCATCCCTGAAACTTTGTCTTGTGCCTAAACCCACACGAACTAACATAGAGTTTGAATTTCCTCTCTGAACAAAACAAATCCGGACCAAACCCACAAATCGTTAAACGCCGTTATTGTTCCGTTAATGAACATCTGACTAGGATGCCACATCATCGATCTAAGCGACTGTGTTTTGAGGGGAAAACGGCATATTCCCCCATAAACTAAGTTGTTTTGGCTAATTCATCCCTGTAATTTTATCTCATGTCTAAACCCACATGAACTAACATAAACTTTGAATTTCCTACATGCACAAAACAAATCTAGACTAAATTGATGGATGAAGAACCTAATTGAATAGACAGTTGCTGGGATTAAAGGTGTTTTAGGGTATGAATTCTAGGATTTTGATCAATTTTCAGATGTGTACTTGGATTATGATGTAATTTTTGATTAATTATCAGAATATGATGTAAATTTTGGATTAATTCTCGGATTATAATGTCATTTTGGAATTATGTTCTATTTCAGATTATATTATTTGCTTGAACATGTTTAGTTGGAGCTGGATTCAGCACCTCCGAATCCACCAACAAAAATAACAAGTGGGAGATACGTTAGACTCATAAACCCATAGTGAAGAGAAGCAGAGCTGGCTCCGAATCAGGACTAAGTCAGGTGAGGATCTCGGCATGAACCTATGATGTAGGAGAGGTTAATGCGGACCTCAGACCGAATAACCTAGGAAGAGTATCTATATAAACATGAGAGAAGACCTAGAAAAGGCATCGCCTACTTACTGGAAAAAACTCACTACTACTCTATGCACTTGTATTCACAAGATCTAGTCAGCTGGTCATTAACGGAACAGTAACATCGTTTAGCAGCTGGTCATTAACGGAATAATAACATCGTTTAACGATTTGTGGGTTTAGTCTGGATTTGTTTTGTTCATGTAGGAAATTCTAATTTTATATTAGTTCATGTGGGTTTAGGCATGAAATAAAATTACAGGGATGAATTAGCCAAAACAACTTAGTTTATGGGGGAATATGCCGTTTTTTCCTCAAAACACAGTCGTTTAGATCGATGATGTGGCATCCTAGTCAGATGTTCGTTAACAAAACAATAACGACGTTTAACGATTTGTGGGTTTAGTCCGAATTTGTTTTGTTCAGGGGGAAATTCAAACTCTATGTTAGTTCATGTGGATTTAGGTACGAGACAAAATTTTAGGGATGAATTAGCCAAAACAACCTAGTTTGGGGAGGAATAGGCCGTTTCCCCCACTTACTTACCAACAAAATACTTGGGTTCTTCTTGGTCTTGCAGAAAGAGGACAGTCAGCGAATGTAATGGGCTAGAACAAAGCCCATTAATAATAAGTTATGGGTTTGGGTCCATTTAGAACATAGGAACCCTAATTCTTAGGTAAGCTCTGTTTCTCTCTGCTTCTCTCGGAGGTTAGTTTCGAAGAACGAAGAGGTCGAGATTTTTGATTTCAAGCGGAGACTGAAATCAGGTAAATTCACTTGAAAACTGCACTTAGTCTATTTCCTGTGTTCGTATTGTATTATGTAACTATGAATCCATGCTTTTATTTTTTCTCTTAGCCATGCTTGCTCTCGATCTTCTCATTGAACAGAGACTTTAGAAAGTTAGGGTTTAAGGTTTAGGCATTTACTGGGTTTTGCAGATTTGGTCTCAGTTTATTCAAAGTTTGTTTCTTTTTACAATATTTAAGCTAGATTAGATCTCGGATGAACAAAATATACATTTGTTAATCGTGAGATTATGTTTTGGTTATTGTCACTCACTGTTATTGTTATCTTTGTGTGGCTTAGTGATAATGGATAGTGAGACGAAGCCAACCACCTTCAGCAAATCTACGGGGCTTCCTCGGAAGAGATTCTACAGAGCCAGAGCTCATAGTAACCCACTTAGTGATTCTCACTTCCCGATACCGATTTCTCCGGCTCATGTCGATTTTTCACTTCACTTTCCCAAATTCGTTGAAGCTGACAACAAAATATCCAAGAAGGTTGAGTTTGCGGATATTGGATGCGGGTTTGGTGGTTTGCTAATTTCCCTTGCAACCCTGTTCCCTGATACTCTAATGATCGGGATGGAGTTGAGAGATAAAGTGACGGAATACGTTAAGGAACGGATCTTAGCTTTAAGGAGAACGAGCTCGGAGGGACAGTACGAGAACATCTCTGTTGTTAGGACAAACTCGATGAAGTACATTCCGAATTATTTTGAGAAAGGACAGCTTTCGAAGATGTTTTTCCTCTTCCCTGATCCACATTTCAAGGAGAAGAATCACAGGAGGAGAGTGATTAGTACTCATTTGTTAGATGAGTATGCTTATGTTCTTAGAGCTGGTGGGATTATTTACACAATCACTGATGTGGAAGAGCTTGGAGAGTGGATGAAAGCTTGCTTAGAGAAGCATCCGATGTTTGAATCACTTACACAAGAAGAGCTTGATACGGATCCCGTTGTCGAGCTTCTATGCAGTGCTACTGAGGAAGGACAGAAAGTTGCCAGAAATGGAGGACAGACTTTCAGAGCTGTTTTTAGACGCATTGCATATGTTTCTTGAACTCAGTCTTTCTCTTGGTAGTAATCTTATTGTTGTAACAAAAGCTTCTTTCTTAATCTTAAAATTTTGGGATAGTGTTTACAGAAATTTAGAAATTATTGTTCTATGAAGACAACAGAATGGAAATTTATGTTAGCATCTTGTTGTACATGAATCAATCTTCATGGCAAGATTGTCAACTACACAGCTACACTACCAATATAAAGTTATAATGCTATAAGCCAAGATGATAGTTGACTCAAGAATCATGCGTAAAGGAACATATTCACATTTTTCTTGCAAATTGTAATGAAAGGCTTTTCATGTTTCAGAGAAGAAAGTATATTGGGAGTTTTTGAAGAAACAGCCCTGTGCACGCCCCAAACAGCCAAACCATCCATCAATACCTGAATGTAACTATAGTTTGTGAGAGATGTGAAGAAAACATATCGATTGATTCCCAAGAAAAGGAAAAGAGGAAACCTCATCCAGCTGAGGTTTCCTCGCATGTACCAAAGTGATTTCTTGCGACTTCACCAAGATTGATATCTGGAAACAGGTTCTGTCGTTCCTCATATCGGGTTTTCTATGTTTTCAAAAGAAACTGAACTTAGCTCAGATGTCCATAAAACAACTACCGGAGAGGCAATAGGCATTTCGGGAAGGATAAACTTGCTCTGTTTCTTGATTAAACCAGCGCATTACTGCTCTCAGGTAGGCTTGTGATTTAGGATACTTGGACAAGAAACTCCTCCGTTCCTCGTCACTAACCACTTTTTGTAAACTAAATACGCCTCATCTGGTCGCTGCAATCTGGTATATTTCTTTACTAGTATCAAAAATGGAACATGATCCATTGTTATACCAGATACTTGCATTCTCGACAAAAGGCTTTCAGCCTCCTTCAATCGACCCTTCCAACAGAGCCCTCTAACCAGCTCAGTATAAGTAATGATATCAGGTTGACATCCCCTTTTCAGCATTTCATCATACAACTGAAATGCCAACCGCAAGTGACCCAGTGTACAAGCAGCACCTACTAGCAGATTATAGGTGGTTGTATCTGGGTGGATTTTGGTAGATCGCATTTCATTTTTGACCCACCATGCATCAATTAATCTTCCCCCTTTCACATACCCATGAATCAAAGCATTGTTTGTGTAAACATTTGGTTTAACACCGTAAGAAAGCATTAGATTTAGAACAGATAAAGCACAGCTAGTATCACCATATCTTCCATAACCATCAATAACCACGTTCCATAGCAGAACCTCTGGAAGCAGAGACCTTTTTAGCATGCTTTGAAGGAACTCGTTCGCCCTGTCCACATCTCCCTGTATACATAGACCTTGAATAATAACTTTGTATGAAATCTGATCAGGAGCAACACCAACATTTTGCATGGTACCATGGAGATCACATGCCACATCAAACTTTCCCGCTTTGCACAATGCGCTTATGAGAGTGTTGTAAGTGAAAACATCAGGATTTACTCCTCTCTTTACCATGTCACACATGAACCCATAAGCAGCAACCATGTTTCCACTCGAACACAACCCACGAATAATGACATTGTACACAACCGAATCAGTAGGGACATTTTTCTGTGACATCTCCTTCCAAACCTCAAGGGCTTGAACAACATTTCCATTCTTAAAACAACTATCCATCAGAATGGTACAGGTGACTATATCCAAGGGTGCGTTCACCTGGCTACTATCTAAGATCTCTTCAAGAAGCTTCGTGTTGTTGTTTCCTATAACACCTTTCTGGCAAAGTGCATGCACAATTATGTTGCAAGTCACTCTATTTGGCTTAATACCATATTTATTCAGAGTACTGAAGAGATACAGAGCTTTATCTACATTGTTAACACTGCACAGACCCTTGATTAAGGTGTTATAAGAGACACAATTGGGCGAAGGACCCATTTCCCTCATCTCTCTAACAAGTCCATCCGCCTTCTCGATATAACCTAATTTACACAACCCATTTAAAAGATGATTGTGCATGATCAAACCTGGGATAAATCCACTACGTAACATTTTTTCCCGTAGCCAGAGAGCAGCGTCCATCTTCCCTTGTAAACAAAGATCCCTCATTATAGACGAGTGAATAGATAACGAATCATCGTACTCAAAATTCTTTGTCTGACATACACTCTCCCTACAAAAGAAGCAAGTTGTGGACTTTCATCAGAAGCAGTTTGCAAATATAACTACCTGAAGCTACTGGGGAAAACACAAACCTCAACGAAGCCAGGCGATCCAAGCTGCTTTTCAAGATATAATCAAGCACATTGAAAATAGCTTCCGGGTCTCTCTTTTGATCTTTTTGATCAGAAAACCATTTCTCAGTGCACAAATGAGAATGCTTGCCAGAAATAGATGAAGGACGTTCAATACAAGAAAGACGCATTTCAAAGTCCCTAACAAATTCATAAAGCAGAGAATCATCAGCAAACAGATTAGATGGTCAAGGAAACCAATAAAATGAATCAAATCAATGTACCTTAGGTTGGTGACTATAGGAGCTAAGATTCTAGAGACATTGTCACTAACAAAATCAAGGCTTTGGTTGAGTAAACGAAGTAGAGTGAATTGAGAAGATGAAACTTCCCCACAAGAAATGAAAAGCTGCATTCGAATTTAAAGCAGTAAAAATCAACACTTTCGTATAACCCAGTACACAAAACAAAAACAGAGTTGTGTATGAGGAAAAAAGCTGCAAACTTACAGCCATCGATTTAATCAGATAAGCTATGCAAAAACATCAACTTTATCACAATGGAGACACGAAGCTTGCGATTTAATTGGGAGTGTATATACGCGTGACTGGTACACACGATTTCGATTGATTAGAAATTCTCGAGTGAATCATCAGAATTTGCATACCTGATCTAGATTGTAAAATGGTTTCTGGGCAAGTTTGACGAAGATGACGAAAATTAGGGTTCTTGCTTGTTATGGGCTATGGCCCATTAACGGGCCTTAATAGGCTTAGGCAGAATTACATGCATGTAGTACAAGTAGAAATAGAAACAAAGTGTAAAGACATCGGCGGAGGCTATATCATCTTTCTTCATCGGTGGCCGCGGTTTAGAAGCATTTTAACCAAAATAAATAAATAAATTTTTTTATAAAATTTTGTACTTTAATGCTTTTAGATCTGAAAAACTGGAAAAAAAATTCTTTACCGAACTAAAAATATTTGAAAATAATAAAAATTTTGAATTGAGTTGAAACTCGAATTTTAAGTGTATTTTCTCGGAGCAGAAACAAATGTTTAGGTGAATTATTATCAATTTAATACAGTACTTAGTTGGGTGTAGTGTGGAATGTTCTGTTACATAGTTAAGACTACAACAATCTTTTACGGTCGAGATTTTAAAAATAACAGCAATCAACTCATATTTAATTTATGGTGATCTAGTGTTTGAAAGTTTCATCTCCAATTGAAAGATCATAGTTTGAGTATTTCCACTACGATCTCAACTATAGTTTGCTAGAAACTAACGACATCATGTGATGTGAAGTGAACTCATAATTCATACCCTTAAGAGAGAGGAAATAAAATCAAGAGCAACGAAAGTTTGTGATTTAAATAAAAAGTCAAAACAAAAAAATTATGATTTAACACGTACAAACGGAAGTTGATGTTTTTTTCAACCAAATTTAAAAATCCATATTTTTCTTTGACATTTTTCTCCTAAAAGATTTGTGCATTGATATATATGTATGCCGACCTACATTTATATTCACATATTTCTCATAAGTGTGTGTTAAGTAGTCATTGCAAAACAAAAACAAAAAAAGGTAACGCAAGAGAAGAATCAATCAATCACAGTTTTTTCTTATATTAATAAATTGTTATATATAACACACTTATACATTCATATATATATCCTTCGTATTCGTAGGCTCGAATCTTTTAATGGCCTTATCCATTTTAGGTAAGACTGCCACCTTCTCGTTCTCATAAGTCATAACTTTCCTCAATACCCACTTTCTTATTCAGAATCTTTGGATTTTATATCGACCACTACTTCATGAGTATTAAATGGATATATATTTTACTTACTGGAGACCATGATAGACCCGCCCGACATATACAACAGTACTACTAGTTATTGTTTTTTTAATGCTAATCTTTGTATTGTAGGCATGGTCTCGATCAACTTGCTCTACTGTCATTTGTCCCCACAGTAAAAGTGCAAATCATACGAATATACATAAAGTTTGACGCGTAAAGATTTATGTAATCATAAGTATATGTCAAAATTGGGTACATATGGAAACATATATAATGCACACGCTAAAAATAAACAAAAATATTATCGACTGAAATTACTGAAGTGTGGTATTACATGGATGAGTACCCGTGATTGAACGGACCCATATTAACTGGTAGAGACGAAAGTATATCAGACACTATATATAGCCGTCTCAAATTACTTGTAGATCCTATTCAAAAAAAAGTATTAAAGATATATAAAATGTGGTGGAGGAAAAAAAATTTAGACGTTTCATGTTCAATCCTTTTATTCGCATGTACTAAAAGACGGCCAATTCGAAGAATGTTCTTCCTCTCAACCCAAATCAGTCTACATATATATAACGTGCATTTTTTTTTATATACATATAACGTGCATTGCAATATGCTAAACACTTGTAATAACGTGCATTGCAAATTGCAATATGTGAAATGCATTCTTCCTCTTCTATGTATACTTTGATTAATTCTCACAATGAGTTTTACTTATTTTTCTGTAAGTAGGTGACATATTCATATCTTAAAAACAAAAATCAAGTTAACCTACAAACTTTTAAAACTAAAATGTTAATTTAAGAAGAAAAAAAAAAACAACTTAAACTTAAATTATTTTTCTAAGGTCTAAATATGTCATTTATCACCAGAGAAATTCATAAAATTGGCGTTGAATTTTTTTTTTCTAAATTGTTATGTTTCATAGATTTCTAACTCAAAATCAGTTTGCGATGAATGAAATTGGCATTTGCATTATTTTTGATGCTTTATATTTTCCAAACATGTCGTCTTCGAGATGATGATATTATCAACTCATCTCAAACCAAATATCATTCTAGAGCAATAAATCTTCATTGTGTCATTTTACTTTAGTCCATTACAAACTAGAATTCGATACCATCTTAAGTTTAATCGAGTTTCCAACTCAAAACTAATTAGTGTATGTCTTGTTGTGTACGCTATATGTCTATGTTGACTTTACTGTGAGAATCGAGAACCTAACATAATATACTTGTGAAACCCTAAAAATTAGCAATCTAACTTAAATTCTTTAATTAGCTTATAAATTAATTTATTAGTGTGAATGAAAAGATGCGGCTTGTGATATCATTCATAAAAACATATCAAAATTCAGAGTGAGTGGGGGTTTTTGCTTTCCAATATAAACGGTGACGTTTTGTTCTTGTCCTATCCGGTTTTTTATAAGCTCCGCAGATTGTTAAATAAACAAAAGAGAGAGAGGAGGATACGATATTACGATATAGGAACATATATGATGATAACGCACGTAACTAAAAGCTGAGACATATTAAAAGAGGAAAGTGATGATGAGTGTCATTGTTAAATGCACAAAGATTTGGATATTTATGATTGCCTGACCAAAATCTTTATTCCATCTCTACTTTTGTCGGCTCACAGTACCTTAGATTCTAAAAACCGACAACGCACATTTCAACATATTCCACAAATTTCGGCTTCTTTTCTCTTTTCTTCATCGCTTTTATATATTTTTCCTTGATTTTTACGTAAAATTACATCTGAGTTGATCACTAAGAAAACAACCTACGAGTGGTTCATGAATGAGAATGCCAAAAACGACAGTGTGTTGGCTTCGTATGTTCCCATCCGCTTTGGTCCGTGTGTTGTAACCTTTCGGAACTTTTGTTTAGATTAGGTTAATGCAAGCCAACGAGAAGTTAGAATCATCCAGGCCCGTCTCTACCCCTAGGCAAGGTAGGCAAATGCCAATAGTCCAAAATTAATTTCAAAAATTTTCTTAAAGAAAAAATTACTAAAAGATTTAAAAAAAAATTTGGTTTTGCCATAGGTCTCATAATATATTGAGACGGTACTTGAATCATTTTATTGTAAACCTAAGGTTTTTTTTTGTTTTTGGCTCCCAAAACCTGCGCAGGACAATCATATAATTTCCTATATTGTGACCTTTGTTTAGAAAATAATCTTAAACATGTGAAATGATTTATGCAGATAATATCCGCCAACCCTTTTGTTCACAGATTTTAATCCCGCAAAACCCGTTGCATTTTAAGAAAATTTGAAGATCAAATCCGCTCCGCCGCTTGAATTCATTATAATAGCTCTAATATCAATATGTAGATCATCATCACATATATATGTACTACTTAAAGGTTTTTTCGAAAATATATCTTCTTTTAAATAGGTATCCAAAATGTTTTTGTAAAAGGAAACAAAGAAACCCCCTTTAGTTTTGTTAAGCTTCATTCAATTAAATAAAATAAACGTTTTAATACAAAAAAATATGTATTCATGTATATATGAATATCTATGTATAAATTTAATTACTATCATACCGTCGATGGAGTTCTGATCAATACCAGCGTCGTCTTGTTATTCCGATTCACATCGTCAATTAGAAAGAATGAAAAAGTAGAATATCCCAAAGAGAGTTTGCATGAGAAGAAGAGAGCAAAATGTAGCCGAAGGACAACTTGCCAGAAATATGTTCATCACATAATTTATACGTATGATTAACAACGTTCCGGCAAGTCATCCTTGGCTGCATTATACTCTACTCCACTTCATGCAATTCTACTCCGTTGGGCACGCATGTACTTCAATGTGTGTGTGTGTGTTTGTGATGGGTTTAGAGAGTGGAGTGAGAGGAAGTATTTATAAGAGAGAGAGACATAGAAACTATACAACCTCTCGGGTCCAGTATAATATACAATTAGATATTTGGTGATATAAATATTCGACCATCAGCGAAAGATTCCTATAGCAAGTGGCTCTAGTGCTCAACATAAAGACATTTAATGTTATAATGTCAAAAGACTTGGCCTTTCTCAGGCCTTTCCACCACCCACTCATAAAATCTTGTACATTTCTCAAAATCTTTACATCAATCGATTCTCTGAGTCTAACTTATTATATGGGTATATATTTTGTTATTACGCGCTAAATCAATTACATAATATTTAGCAAGTTTTTTTTATCCAAATTTAACAACACTACATATTTAGAACAAAACTCATTTGTTATAATATCTTTCATAGTCTTTGTCCCGGAGAGATATGCGGACCACAAGTTCATAACTCCATAGATATCCAAAAATAGAAATAATAGCAAGAGTTAATTTTTTTTCCAGATCAAAATACAGATGAATCTAAAGAATTTAAATCTTTTTGCATCTTAATATATGATAATGTAGCAAAACGAAATTGATGTCGCGTGAAGTATATCAACTAAGTTAGGTGGATGAATTTATTGGTGACAAAAGATGTAGGATAAGGTATTTAATTTATACATATCTCATAGGTAAAATTTGTAAACAACTTTATATTGCATACAAATTTATATGACAACCGACCTAAATAATAATAATTCGATAGAATTAATGATAGTTTTTTTCCGAAAGGAACCGCATGGAAAGGGATAGGAATAAATAAGCTGGTGCGCAGATTGGTCCTACTAAATTTTACTTGTTTAGAAAAATATTGAGGTCAAAGAATTATTGCATTAGTGGTGATTGGCCTCCATGCTAAATAAGAATCAAGAAAAAACGAAAAGGAGAGAATATATAAAGAAACATTACAGATATGAGACTGAGAGATATACTTTTATTTTACAGATTTGTGCAAACAGTAAAAGATTTATTCATTTATTCATGTTTCTAAATCTCTACATATTATAATGTGCATAGCAATTAGCAACATATATACATATATGGTGTGTTGTCAATTACTCTTACCTCCAATACCTTTTGGTGTCTTCTTAACTCACACAATCCTCACTTTCAAATTCAAGCAATAATGGTTATATATTTCTTTGTTTGAAATAAGGCTTAAGACTGTGACAAGGAAAACTTGAATTCAAGCATGGGTCTAGTGACCTTCCTTACTGATCAAAGAAAACATATATACATACACACACACACACATATATATAGCATAAACTGGTGTTTTTAGTTTTAGTGGATTCGATTGGTTAATTACTCGATGATGTATAGTTATAAATTTATAATCAATTAATACAATGATAATAGATCTCAAAATTAGTTTTAAATTTAATTAATAAGATTCGACTGATATAAACCAGGATTGTTATAGGGAATTAGTATGGCTTAATTAGGCAATAAACGACTTTTCTAACTTTTTTTTTTCTTCTGAGAACTTCTATTGGTGGTATAGCTTAGTTGTTAAATAAATGGAAAACCAAAAATGGAACCTAAAAGGTGTGGCGCCGCCAACAAATGCACCGCCCCTATCTCGTCGTGTTGGTCGGGACATGTAAATATCCAAACCTCAAAGCTAAGATAATGTTTTTGAAATGACTTTTTCATCATTAGATAGGGAAGTGATTTTGTTGCTTTAGTTTTTTAAAATTTAGTGACATTTGTCAACTCTTTGGCATATCCACAACTTATTCTACAAATATTATTTACTAGTAGCTGATTAGTTTTTTTTTTTTTTAATGTCAAAAACATATCCATTAGATTTTTTTTTTGTCAAATTAAATTGTCCATTAATTTGATAAGTTGTTGCGTCTTTCTTATAAAAGTCTATAGATTTTAAAAAGCAAACTTCCCGTAAACCTTAATCGTTATTTCACGATTTTTTTTTTTTTTTTTGTAATCATCTTCAGGGTAACGAAAAACTAAATGTGGTTTTACCTTTAAAAACGTGAATCAATAGTTGCATGATAGAATACACACTCTGTGGTTTGAACCTATGACTTAGTGATATTTGGCAAATTAACCATTATCATGAATGTTTTAAACTTTTAATTGGTTTAAATACAACTTTTTAGAATATCAGTCTCGGCTCTCGGGTTAGAGACACAAGTCGAGATCCATGCAGGGCCGTCTCAAAATTCTAATGGATCTGGTGCTCAAACCTAAAAAAATGTTAAACTTTAGATAGAAATTCAAAAATATGAACCTTTTTTTTATAGAATTTTAGAAATTTACAATCCTTTTATCTAAAGAAAATTGAAAAAAAAAAGATCCAGTACACAAGCAATGCCAGCAAATGCCCTAATACGGGCATGGATACGTTGTTTATGGTTCTACATGGTTACGTTGTTTTCGTGTCCGGTAAATATTTTTTCAAGTGTCAACTTCGATATTTATGAAAATTTGCTAATTTTAATTTGTGCCAATTTATATAAGTTGCAATACTCTACGTCAAAAGTTGGAATAATAAAATAATCATGAACATTGTCAATTTGTCATCTAATGATAATGTCCACAAATATTTTCATAACAATTATTTGGATATAATAAAAGACTAATTAAAACTCAAAAAAGTTTATTACATACCATCTACGAAATCGGATAAACAATCCCTTTGTTGAAAGGCAAGCATCCTCTGTGAAGTGTCGTACCCAACTGCATGATCAACAAGAGCTGATGCTCCAATCACATTAATCCTTTCCTCATCTTTCATCGATGATCTGACCAAAGCTGTGCAGAGAGAAGATGGGCTGTCTCGGAGATAGAGTCCTTTGTTTGAGATTGTGTAATCGTATCCTTGGAAATGAAAAGTGAGTTTGGGCAATGAATCTATATCTAACCCAACCTCGGTTGTGAAACACATTAGTTCGTTCACTTCGTATGCGACTGTTGGTCCAATCTGCGCCATTAGCTCTTCTTTCACCTCCTCGTAGAGTGATGGCTCTAGACTCGTGTAGTAGGTTCCGATATCTATTGCTAGTCCACTAGTCTCACTGCTTCTCATTCTAATTAAAAACAAAAGTTCGTGAGAAACAAATTAGTGGATATAATTAACATTTAGAGAAAGAAAGAAATATAGATTGATAGTTTTAAATACCAACTTCCGCGTTTGCGTTTTTATGTGACACGTTAAAAAATCAGTTTTTAAAAAATACAATATTTTTCTTGTTTTTAAAATATTTTAAAAAATAATTAAAAAATGGTGTTCAAACATTATAAAGGTTGTAGGTTATATTGAAAAAAAACAACACACTAAATTTTAATGCAAACGAAGAATCGAAACCCAAATATAATGCATGTTGGATAGTAGATAACGAGCATCATCAGAACACATCTATGAAATGAAATGACAGAATATGTATTAATTATATAAAAAATACTTATTTAACTAAGAACTCATATTTAAGGATGTAATAATTTTTATTGTTTGTCAATAATCATTAACAAAATATAAATAACTTAATAACAATATGTAGAGATGTGTGATTGGTAAAAGTAAAACATGTGAATTACGGAATATAATTACATTCACTATTATTAAATAGACTCACTATTGTTTAATAGTATTTAATTATCTCAAGAGTTTGAGTCTATGAAATTGTTGTTAAATCGTATATTTTAACAAATGTTTCATTTTACGTAGATATATGAGCTAGGTTTAAACAAATTATCGTGTTAGCCAGGTTTGATGGACTAGTTTAAAAATAAAATCAAAACATCAACAAGTGATATATTTATACCTCTGTTGGGCAAGACTGATCCCGAAGAGAGCAACGTGATACGAGTAAGCTTCCGTCCCCGTCGTGTTTAACATCGGAACCAACACCATATCGCCGCCGTAGGAAGCCGCTGATCCGAGACGGATGTAGTTACGCGACCCGGCGGAGGAAGGCCAAAGACAATGTGAAAATCTTGTGAGACGAAGCTGAGAGAGGAAAGAGAAACGATGAGTTGTTAGACTCAATCTCCCATCGACGCCTCCTCCGTCTTCCTCCGGCGTCGCACGGTTACTAGCCCCGCAGCCAAAGACAAACCCTCGAGCTATGGAGAGAGAGTTTTCTTGGTCGGTGATTGAGGAAGTTAACTGAAGTGTGTCGGAGACAAGGTAGCCGGAGCTAGAGGGAGAGGCCTCGTAGCGGCAGAAATCGGAAGGAGTGCAGAGAAGAGATAGAGAAGTTGTTGTTTTCGTTGTTGTTGTGTTGAAATGGTTAGTGGAATTGGTGGAGACATGAGGACAAAGAGAAGAGTTATTGCAAGAGATTGTAGAGAAAGTGTTGGAAGATTTGTCTGAGAGTGAGCATTGGTGGTCATCATCATTATCAAGGCATGTGAGATGTGTAGACGAGTCTAGTTTGAGGTTAAAGGTTCGCGTTGGGGTTCCAATGGTGATCTCAACGTAAAGATTAGATTCGAAAGGTAAGTAGAAGCCGTTTGGTATATCATTCGGGAGATCATCTTCAAGGCTATAGTTATGAGTTAGTACTATGAAGAGGAGCAGAAGAAGAAAAATTAGTGGATTTGGTGAAACCATGTTCTTTGGTTTTGTATAGTTTAAAGCTCCCAAAACATTCTAAGTTACATTTTATATGAGATACATATTGTATTTTAATTATGATACAATTAATTACTTAACCGAAGACATAATTCTTGTTTTTACGACAGTGTTGCACCTTAGCTTGCATGAAATAATGTTTTACGTTATCAGAAAAAAAAAAAAATAATAATAATAATGTTTTACATGGTTAATTATTAGTATGAGAATTCCTAGCATTTTGTATAAAATTAGTTATACCTTAAAATTATATTAGTTTAGTTAATTGTTTGCTCAAAACAACTAAATGATAAAGTAGTATTTTACTTTGTTGTTTCTTCATGTGGCATGTGTGGTTTTTATATATGCAG